GGGGGGGTGGAAACATTCAGTTCTTTCGTGTTTTTTCTACGATCGGATGAAAAACAGGGAAATCCGTACGGAACGACCTCACACATGTCTCAGTAACTTAGTCATGTTGACCTGCAAAAAACTATAAAACTTACATTGTTATGATTCCTGATTTTCAGGTGAGCATTTTCTAGTTTTTCTAGGGCTGGAAAAACCCAGAAGGGAAGGGCCAGGGAGCACAAAGGGGTAATGGAAAGAACAAAAGGAAATGAAGACACAAACAGATATAGGCCTACCGATCGGCTGTTGGCTGATAATGATATATCATAATTTATTGTTTGACAAAGAGACAAACATTAGAGACAAACAGGACAGACAGACAGACAGACAGATAGACAGAGAGACAGACAGACAGACACTTCTGTGAATGTGTATGGTGATGGACGTGTGTTTATCTGTCTATCAAATCTTAGCCTTTTGACCTTTTACGATTTGTTAACGGTTACGCTCTTTTTTTAGCTTATTTTTGTTTGTTTGTTCGTTGTTGTTGTTGGGGTTTTTTTTTTTTTTGGGGGGGGGTGTTAAAGCACATGGACACGACAACGACCGTTTACCGCACGACGCACATAAAGAAACGCCTGAGAAAAAGTAGAGAAGTCGGAACAGCCAATGACACCCTTTAACCACCCATTTTTTTCTCTTTCTCAGCTTCTTCTCCTTCCCCTTCTACATCACCGCATTCTTCTGAAGTTCATCCTCTCACCCACCGTGTCTTTCATCATTCCGGCCGAGTTCGTCGCCGAGCTGATGATACGACAACACCTGGCTGTGTGTCAGTTAGTACGTCAGTCCGCCCAGCATCTGTCTATCTGTCTATCCGCCCCCGCGGATTTTGGGTTTGTTTGTTTGCTTGTCGCTTAATTTTGGATTGTTTGTTTCTTTGTTTGTTGTTTTGACTTTTTGTTTTTGTCTTTGGGTGAGGTTTTTGTTGTTGTTTTTATGTTTTTGTTTTTGTTTGTTTATTTGTTTTTTTGTTTTGTTTTGTTGGAAGGGGGGGCTTTTTTTGTACACACGTCACAACCACCAGCATCCCCCTGATTCTTCCTACGCACGCCCAGGTAGATCCACAGTAGATCAAAGCGACGCCCTTTTCCCAGATCCTCCACCAAAGAGGGAGCACGTGGAAGCCACCCACAGCTGCTTCGATTTGCCCCTTGAGCGCTCACGGTGAGCGGCGAGAAATGACGACAAAGAGTAGAAGCATGAAAGAGAAGAGGATGGTGGGGCAAGACAAGAGTCCGGAGCGTGCGGACCAAGGAATCCGGGAGCGGTACCACGACAGGGCGAAAGAAGAATTACGCGTGGTTGATGCAAAACTTAAAACAGTGGAATGTGTATGACCTGTCGGAGGAGCTGCACCGTCACCGAGTCCTTACTCTTCTACAGGGCTTTGCTGGAGTCTGTTTCAGTGGTTGGGGTCTTTTTTGTTTTTTTGTTTTGTTTTGTTTTGTTTAGGGGGAAGGGGGTGTTCATCATTGTATTTACTTCTTTTTAAATACAGGTGTCCGAGCGTTATAGAAGCCCAAGAGGTGAAAATAATAGCATCGCACTTCGAACATCTGTGTACCGAAACACACGTACACACGCCGCCTGCCCATAGGCGCGCGCACGCAAGCACTCACGCATGCACACGCGCGCGCACACACACACACGCGCGCGCGCGCACACACACACACGCGCGCGCGCGCACACACACACACCATTAAACAATGTGCAACCTTCCCTCCCCCATCCCCATACCCAGATAAAAATCAAACAAAAACAAAAACAAAAAAGCCCTTCTTTTTCAACAATCATGATAAGCACTAGAGCACCCGGCACCCTTGAAAGCAACCGGTGGTCGCAAGCGCTAGCGAGCATTATTACACTGACACAATAATTTTAAAAAGGTGTGCACAGATACGGGGCCGCCGGGGTTGCTTCGTGCATGCGATGCGCGTGCTGGCGTGCGTGCGTATGTACCCGTGGAGATGTCAGCAGTTGGGGGCCCCGCCCGACGCCTAGAGCTGGTCTCCACAGCTTCCTGCCAGACCTCCTGCCTCAGACGTACACACAGACGCGTCAGCCCAGCATCACCCAGCACCGCCCACGGCACGCGCGCACATATGGGCACCACCTCTGCTCACCACCACACCACCACTGCTGGGGAAGACACCTTGCTCAAATCCAAAATGCCAACAGGTTTGATCTTCAAATACGAACGCGGATGTATATATTATATATAAAAATGAGACTTGACTTTTCGAGTGTTTTTGGTTTTGGTTTTGTTTCTTTTGTTTCGTTTTATTGATTTATCTCTATTTATTTCTTTTTCATTTTAATTTTTTCCTTTTTTGCGCGCGCGTGTGTGTG